CAAGCAAGAAGGTTGAAATTAGGGTTTCAATTTTAATCAGGATAAATTTGTTTGTGAGGGAAAGAATCATTTCCATGGTCATCCATATGTCCTAAGATTTGTGGGGATGGGAGATTGACCATCAATTTTAATCAGAAGGGTTTCAATCGATCAGTCAATTGAAAATCAGGAGATTGGGGAAAAAGTCAACTGTGCAGTGAAAAAAGTCAACTCCTGACTTTTTGAGGTCAAGATCACGTGCCTCAAGTTAAATATGACCAATGGATGGAATTTGATCAAGAAAATTCAAGAGAATCATGAAAAATCAAGAATTGTTGAAAGTTGTCATTTTAAGGAAATTAGGTTTTTAGAACTTTCTATTTATAGAAAGTTTTATGTTTGGAACAGCCATATTCAAAGCCATTTTTCTTCATGATTTAGGTTTCAAATGAACTTGGATCAAACATCAAAGTTGTTCCTTGTATTTCAAGCTTTCATTTGAGTACCAATTCATAATCATATGATATTTGGAGCTCAAGTTATGATCAATCAAAGTTGAGGAAAAGTAAGCCAATTTTATAACTTAGAATTATTTTTTAAGCTTTAACAATGAAAATATAAGAGAATTAGGTTTGTACTTTTCCCTTTTCAAATATTTGAATACTATTGTAGAGCTCCATATTCGAACATTTGTCTTCCGTATTAAAATACAATAATCAATTTAATTAAGTCAATTCTCTTATAGAAGAAAAAGATTAATTGGTTATCGACCTTCTCTTTCTCGATTATTTAGATACTATTGCAGTGCTCCATTTGTGAATAATTGTCTTATGTTAATGAACTTTGACCTCATTCACCACATAGTTTCATAATAACTCTTGAACAAAAAGAGAGTAATTGGACTCAGGCCTCTTCCCTCCCAGGAATTTGAATACTGAAGTAGAGCTCCCTGTTTAGATGCTTGTCTCCCCAGAAGTAACTGAACCAATCAAACTTGTTTTTCTACCCTTGTGCAACTTCGAAAACAGTTTCAGAAAAAAAGTATGCTTTATCCATATCGACATGAAACAAACAAAGACTTCTGCCTCCAAGAGCAAACAGTAAGTAAAGTTTTAGTCACTCGATATGTCTAAAGGATCACTTCTTAAAAGTAAACAACCCAATAGTTCTCTCTTAGTAGAAGTATGTAGCCTTGAGTTCTCCATAGCACCTGGAGATATGTAGGAGCAAGATTTTGAAATATTGTCTGGCACTTTAATGTAAAAAAACATAAATCGTTCCTTTCTTTCTCTTTTCTCACTCAATACATGGAAGATTTCAAACTAATATCATGCTAACACTCTAACACGAAACTAACTAAGTGGGTCCTATTGAGTACAACAGATGTGAGAGGTGCTAATACATTCTCCTTGCATAACCGACTCTCGAACCCTATTTGTTTATGACGACCAGTTTCATTTTGTTTTTCATAGGTTTTATCGATATTTTTCCTTTCCAATTTTGGGAATAAATAAAGTTCGGCGGCGAATTATGCTCAGGTATTTTTTGCGCCACGATAGTCATCTTCCACTAAGCAAGTGAGGCTTGACGTCTCCCAATAACGCTCTGGCTACCCATGAGACATCTAGAAAAGAGGTGATGACTCACCCTTGACTAAGCGGTTCACTTCTAATATAATGTGTCGCCTTCAGCCAAGGGACTTGCCCTAAGTTAAGGGACTTACCTCCCATTCAAAGAGTTTCCTTCAATTGAGGGACTCACCCATTGTAGAGGGGGCTCATCTCTAACTGAAGGACTTTTCCCAAGCTGAATGACTTACCTCCCATTAAAGGAGTCGCCTTCAGCTGAGGTACTTACCCCCCATTAAAAGAATCACCTTCACTTGAGAGAATCACCCCTTGTAGAAAAACTCATCCCCAATTGAGAGACTTGCCCTTGACCATAAAGTTCAACCTAAGGGAAGTTTGGAAACACTTGTCCTTTAAAACTCCTCATGCTTGAACGACTGTGTAGTGATATAATTTGTGAGAACCCTAAATAAAGGTGACACACGAGTCCTAACCTCGTGAAACATCACTCAGACATAACCTTTACGTGGCATGAGAAGCTCGTCCTCAGGAAAGACGTGTACATTATCCTTATCCAGAAACTAACTACACAAACAAGGTCATATCATGACTCCCTGAAAAATAGGCAATCAACAATCTTCCCTTGTCAAAAATGAGCAGTTACCATCTCTTAGGGCTTCCTAAACTTCAGGCTCAATAGTCTTTACAAATACCTTACCCCTTCAAGGGGGAAGGACAAATCAATATATCCTCAATATACACACAAAAAACACAGAGCTTCTCACCTCGCACGAGTTTGCTCTCTCTATCACCATAAACATTACAAAACATGGTCTCTCACCACCGTGAGAATGCCTTAACCACCTTTAAACTATAAATGCCTTTAGTTATCTCCTACCCACGTAGAGATACCACTCACTCATGTACTTTTTAATAAGTATGAATATCTTTTTAGAATAGTTTGGTATAATAAACTCAATCGCGCTCATGGTGATGTGATAGTTGGATGTGAAACCTAAACATGGTATGAAGGTTGAAGACCTTGAAAAATATGAGGATGATAGCGTAATCTAAACAAAGATTAGTTAATATGCATATGATTAGATAACTCATTATTATTATTATTATATATATATATATATATATATATATATATATATATATATATAAAACATATTTTGATATTTAATCACGAGAGTCGAGAGAATGATAATATAGACTTAGCTAATTTTTTTAAGTGATATATGATCTAGAATTAATTACATTATATTATAATATAATTATTTACGTTATCATTGATTTTAATATATTTATTTATGATACTTTTTCTTTATTTTTTTATGGACCCAATTCGGATTTTAGAAAAAAAAACCAATTATTGATTTTGATATAGTTTTTTTTGTCTTATCTATGTTCTTTATTTCTTTATTTAGACTCTAAAATTCAAACATTTTAAAACACACAAGGTTCTAAAATTTCAAGATTTTTTTTAGAAATTTGAACAACTTTTTAGAGAATCGGAGGGAATGGAGAATTTCACTTTAATCTTGACTTCAACAATATATTTAACAATCTATTAGATTAATCAATAGTTTTCAAATTTAGATCACATGATCACATCATCAAAATTTAAATTTTGAATTTTCTAAATGAAAAAAATATGATTAGGAGGAGAGACCTCATAAGATATGGTTAATATAATTTCTTATAAAGATTAATTATCGACAAATCTAATTAAAAAATACAATTAGGGAGAGAGACCTCATAAAAGACAGTCAATCAAACTTCTTGTAAAAATTGATTATCGAGAAATTATATAAATATTTTGACTCGATAACATTGTTAAAAAGAATATTGAATTAAAGTTTGATCAATGTTATATGGATATAACTCAAGTTCTTAACAAGTCGGCTAATAATTAAATAGAAATGTTAAAAATGAAATATATATATATATATATATATATATATATATATATATATATATATATATATATATATATATATATATATATATATATATATATATATATATATATATATATATATATATATATATATATATATATATATATATATATATATATATATATATATATATATATATATATATATATATATATATATATATATATATATATAAATAAGTGGAGATCAATTTAAATTTTTTTTAACTTACTATAAATCATAACTTTTAAACTGAATATAATCTAATGATTAAACAAGTAAAAGACTAATTTAACTATTATATTAGATTCAATTCAAATACTATAATTTGGAATAAATTAAAAAATTTTACACTTGGATATATATATATATATATATATATATATATATATATATATATATATATATATATATATATATATATATATATATATATATATATATATATATATATATATATATATATATATATATATATATATATATATATATATATATATATATATATATATATATATATATATATATATATATATATATATATATATATATATATATATATATATATATATATATATATATATATATATATATATATATATATATATATATATATATATATATATATATATATATATATATATATATATATATATATATATATATATATATATATATATATATATATATGAAAAAAATTAGAGACATTGAATTTAAAAAAAGACAGGAAAATAGTAATATGCGTCCATCGTGGTGGCACGTACACAACCCTTGGAAGGTCAAGGATAGAGCAACACTAGCTTTAACTTATATATGATAAGAAACAACCGATTTTCCCGGGAAACGCATAAACATGCACCCTTTGTCCAAAACCTGATTATTTTCATTTGGAAGAAGTTAGAACAACACATTTTTTTGTTCTTCTTCTTCCTCTTTACAATTCCAATTCATTTCATTTTCTTATACATATTCATTCATTCTTGAATTCATAAACAGGTCACAGGTAATCACGATATCCTTCGTTTTCGTTTTATTTTTCTTTTCTCAATCCTATCTCTATGTCCTTTTAATCTTCCTTGTAGGTTTCGACATCCTATTAATGTTTTGTTCTAGATTGCATGTGTTTTGTCTATAATGCAATTTCTCTATTTTTTACATTATTTTTTCAAAGCAAATGATAATTGATAAGCTTTTCTTTATAAATTCTCTTAGGGACCTTTTGTGCTGTCAAATTCTCTTAGAGAAAGATTAGGGTTCATATACAACTACTTGCTGTTGTTCTCGACGCTCTAAAATAAGAGGTAACCTGTACACTCAATTTTTAAGATTTTGGATGAAAATGTAGTCTCGATATCTTTTTAAATTTTTAGCTCGTTGTTACAAAATTATTTTCAAGTCATTTTGTACATTTTCCTAACAAATTTTATGGTAGATTTTTTAGTCTTGCAACATTTTCGATTTCAATGTGTTTGTCTAGGGTAGTGATTCGACTAGACAATTTTGAGCTATGTTGTGCTGTGGAGGTGCAGAAGAGGATTTTAACGGTTTAGCTGCAAACCATTATAGTGCAGCAGCTATTGGGGCTAACGCGTACGGTGCTGGTGCTGGTGGAGGAGGTAATTAATCGCATTCATGATCTTTGATATTTTAGATACTAATTGCGATCAAATGCCTGATACTATACTAGGATAATGATCAAATATCAGCCGCGAACATTCATTTGATGTATCTTTGAGAAGTAATTTACTATCTTTGAATGCAGGTGGTGATAGAGGAGAGCCAAGGAGCAATATTGTGAAGAGTGGCGGTCCTCAGAAAGCATTAGAAATCGAGATACCCGAATTTAAGTTGAACGAGTTAAAGCGGTTAACAGAGAACTTTGGAACAAAAGCACTTATTGGGGAAGGTTCCTATGGAAGGGTTTTCCGTGCAAAGATGAGCGACGGTGTTGAGGCTGCAATTAAGAAGCTCGATACTAGTTCTTCACCAGAAGTTGATTCCGATTTTGAATCACAGGTAGTTTTTTCTTATATTTGAGATTGATAATTTATCGAGGAATGTTTTGTCTGGTTGGATTGTCAATTTGTCACAGTTTGAATTATATGTCACTATGGATGGAATCATATGCAGTTAGCAATTGTTTCAAGACTGAAGAATGAACATTTTGTCGCGTTGATGGGATATTGTCTCGAAGCGAATAACAGAATTTTGGTTTATGAATATGCAAGTCTTGGTTCTTTGCATGACACATTACATGGTACGTTTAACGATATAACTAACTACTGATATTTAGAGACATAACTAGTATTAAGAAAATAGCTCTTGCGCTTTAATATGTTGAACGCTAATACTAGAATCGTCATAAGTTTTTGGACGCATTGTGTAGATTAGTTATGGTTCAACAAGACTCTATATAATCACGTTCTAACAGTAACAAAGATTGGGTCTTAGTCTTGCTCGCCTTTAAAGACGGTCCTGACTGATACGGTTTTGATGTTGCAGGAAGGAAAGGAGTTCAAGGGGCAGAACCTGGTCCGGTTTTAAATTGGAACGAGAGAGTAAAAATTGCGTTTGGTGCAGCCAAAGGACTTGAGTTTCTTCATGAGAAAGTTCAACCTTCTATAGTTCATAGAGATGTAAGATCCAGCAATGTGTTGTTGTTCAATGATTATGAGGCTAAGGTTGCAGATTTCAACTTGACAAATCAGTCTTCGGACACCGCAGCCCGGCTACATTCAACAAGAGTCTTGGGAACATTTGGCTATCATGCTCCAGAGTATGTATGCCCGAACTCTTAATTTGATAGACATAGTCATGCAATCTTGGCCATCAGATTGAGATCAGACAACTCATGTTTCAACATCTGTAATCAACTTTAAAATTTAATCTCAAAATGTAAGTTGTCTAATCGAGGTCGAATGACCAAGGTTGCGTGATGTCATTTGTGTCTGGTTTAACAATTCGCACATGCTATGCCATAACATAGTTGCTATTTGACAACATTTTGAACTAAATAGTTTATCATAGAACAAGTTGTTCTACGCTATTGTGCTAGTTAAGGGAATTCGATCTTTTGTCAATTGAAAATAATGTAATGGTTTTTGAAACGATTACATTTGTTTTCAGGTATGCGATGACAGGACAAATAACCCAAAAAAGCGATGTATACAGTTTTGGTGTCGTGCTTTTAGAACTCTTGACAGGAAGAAAACCAGTGGATCATACAATGCCTAAAGGGCAACAAAGTCTTGTAACTTGGGTATGTCCTTTCAAACATTCTCATGTCGTTAACTGTCTTTTGAATTAAATTCTCATTATTCTATACTCTTGCTTTCTAATATGACTTTTGATCATTACTATAGGCAACTCCAAGACTAAGTGAAGACAAAGTGAAACAATGTGTTGATCCTAAACTAAACAACGAGTATCCGCCGAAAGCAATCGCTAAGGTTCGCTTCTTTATTTCTCATAGATTAGTCGAAGCTAAGGTTCGCTTCTTTATTTCTCATAGATTAATCTTCGACGAGAGTGTTATGTAATTGGTGTTTGATGTGGATATGCAGTTGGCAGCAGTTGCAGCACTCTGTGTTCAGTATGAAGCAGATTTCAGACCAAACATGACAATTGTTGTTAAAGCTCTTCAGCCACTTCTCAATTCGAAACCGGCTGGACCTAGCTCTAATGCTTGACATAGTGACCAAGTTTTTGTGAAATTAATTTGTAACACAATGAATTTGTTCCTAAATTTTTTGTTTTAGAAATTGTACTAAACCAAGTTGATTCAGGATTCTTGATTAACTGGGAAAATATTGTGTGCATAATTTATGAACTAGATCATAATTTTTGTATTTAAAAAATGAAAAAAATCAAAGGTATATATAAATATAAGCAAAAGAGCAATCAAAATTGTTAGACAAATTTTTAGTTGATCTTTTGCTGTTTATAGTGATATTGTTTACTTTCTAACATGTCATTTGCCATAATATAAATATATAACTGTGCACCAGCAAAAATTGGATGAATCAATTTAATCTAAAGTACGCTTACCCATATTGGTTCATATCTTTTTCTATAGTTACTATTCCAACAATAACTCTAATATTCTCCTTTCTAATCATACCACAGATTTATGTTTATACAGAATTTGCAGTTTTACACACCTATTATTAATTGTATAGTATTTTTTAGAAATTGTAATTTAATGTGTATTAAAAACTAGCATTTCAATGTTATGTCGAAATAGTAGTCTGAAGTATAGGAATTACCTGAATTTAAGTTTGTCTAATACACATTTAGTTGGCATGTCAAAATATTTTGGACATGTGTTGAATTATATATTTTTGGATTTGCGCTTTAGTTGTCTATATAAAATTTTTTTTATGATGTAAACACACAAAATTTCACTCAATACGAATTTTATTTTTTATAATTCAGTTTATAGTTTTCTCTTTTCTCTCTCTTCTTCTTCTTCCATCTTTTTTAAAAACCTTTTGTTCTAACAAATTGGTGTCAAGGAGGCCGGTTGCGATTCAGAGAGAATATGTAATGATAAACAGAACAACAACATCAATGCAATTTCCAATAAATATATCGGCTTTCAAAGGGGAGAACGACGAACGGTGGGTTGCGCAGATGAAGGTCATCTTCAGATTTGAAGATGTGTCTTAAATCGTGAACGGTGGAGTATCGGCATTGGAAGCGAATGCATATGATGTTCAACAAGCTGTGCACAAGAAACGAAGGAAGAAAGATGGAAAAGGTCTGTTCTTGATTCACTAGTGTGTGGATTCTAATGTGTTTGAAAAGATTATTGAAGAAGAAACGACAAAAGGAGCATGAAACAAGTTGAAGAGGTTGTAGACGGAGATGAAAAACTGAAGAGGGTGAAGTTACAAACATTTAGAAAACAATTTGAGATGACTCAGATGAAGGAAGATGAATCAGTCTTGGAATATCTTTCATGTGTGGTATTGCTAACGAACCAGATGAAGTCGTGTGGTGAATCGATCAAGATTCGCAGAAGATTGAGAAAGTGTTAAGATCTCTAACTACGAAGTTTGATTATAGTGTAGTGTCAATTGAAGAGTCCAAGGACCTAGCTGAGATGAAGTTAGAAGAACTTTAAACTTCATTAGAGGCTCATGAGATGAGGCTGGAGTAAAGGAACTCATAAAGGAAGAAGGTGACTGAACAAACACTAAAAGCAAGATTCGTCACGAAATTTGGGGAAGAGAAGGAAACGAATCTTGCTAATGATGAGAAATCAAGCATGAACTCAAAGAATCACTCTAATCTGATCAACAAAGGCATGCACAACAAGCACTCTAGAAAGAAAGTTGACATGAAGGAGGTGCAGTTACAACTGTCAAGGATTTGGTCATTATGCTCGAAACCGACAAAGAAAAAAGGAAGCACGAGCAAAAGATAATGATGAAGTGCAGTATGCACATGCTGAAGATAGTGATCAAGGTTGTTAGAATCGAGTTTTTACCTTGACTCGTTTTGGCTAGGTAAAATTGAAACGTAAAATCGTAGAGTTTACCTCATTAAAATAATATTAAATTTAAATTTAAATAATAAAAACAATCAAATTTAAATAATAAATTTTAACTAAAAGAGTAAGACACTAAAGCAAATTTGTCAAAAATATACACAATAAATCAAATCAACTTCTATTAAGTTGGTATATTAAAATAGTAAAAATAGAAAAACACTATAACAATCACTTAGATTACAAACCATAGTAGCATTCAAAGATGCAGAATAGCAAAACTAGAAACATTGTAACAAACATAGTAACAAACCAAAGTTACATACAATCACATAATAACATAGTAACATAACATTTCTCTGTTTTTTATTTGTGAAGAAGGCTCACTTTTTAGATACTTACCAATAAAAGAATAAAACTCACAGAATATTGTCGTTGAAGTTTCGATCCAACGTCGTACAAGTGAAGTGACGTTATGGTTTAAAATTTTTTAATTTTCATTGCTCTGGTAAATAAAAAGTTTAATGTCTAATGAAAACAGAAGTTATTTAAAGTGAATAAAATAATAAAGTGGAAGAAGTTTTATTGGACTACTTTTTTTTAAATTTCAAGAAAAAAAAGGTAAAATCAAGTCAAAGAGTAAAATCCAAAGATTTTACATAATTTTATAAATTTCAGAGAGATTTAAATCGTCTAAAATCGTTCCAGTATACGATTTTACTTAAAAATGATTTTACCTGCGACTTAACACCAAATGCCGATCTGGAAACATAAAATCTAAGAGTTAGATTTTAAATCGCGATTTTAACAACCTTGATAGTGATTTTGATGATGTGCTACTCATGGCCAACACTCAGTTGAACACTGAGCAAACCAACATGTGGTACCTGGATTCAGGATGCAATAACCACATGACTGGTAATAAAACCTAGTACACAAGCTAAATGAATCAGTTGAAAAAGTGATAAAGTTTACAGATGGCAGGCACATCACATCAGATAGAAAATGAAATATTTTTGTTGTCAGGATGAATGGTCGAAAAGCCGGTATCACTGGTGTGTTGTATGTACCATCGATGACAAGTAACTTGATAAGTGTATGCCAATTACTTGCAAAAGGTACAACATGAAAATAGAAAAGAATCGTATAAAGGTGTATCATAGTGATGGAAGGCTGATTCTAAAGGCACCCTTGGCAGACAATATGACCTTCAAAGTAGAGATCACTCATTTGATCACAAATGTCTTGCTTCGACTAGATAAGAAGACAAGAACTGACTATGGCATCATAGGTATGAACATCTAAACTTCAGTATTTTGGGTATGCTCAACTAGAAGAAGGTGGTGTATGGCTTACCTCAACTGAAATAACCAAGTCAAGTGTATGAGGAATGTTACAAAGTAAAGCAGGCTTGGAAAGCATTCAAGCATGACTTGTTCATGAGGTCAAAGGAAAAGCTAGAGTTAGTTCACTCTTATGTGTGTGGACCATTTGAAGTGAGGTCGAATGGAGGTAACTACTACTTCCTAACCTTCATAGATAAATTCAATAGATATATGTGGATTTATCTTATTGAAAGGGAGAGTAAGGTGTATTCACACAATTCAAGAAGTTCAAATTGCATGTCAAAAAGCAAAGTGGATGCAAGTTGATGAAATTGAGAACTGATGATGGTGGTGAATACACTTCTTGAGAAATTGCTAAATTTTGCAATGAGAAATGTATAGATCATGAGGTCGTTGCACCCTATACACCTCAACATAATTACATAACTGAGAGGAAGAATCTAAGTATACTTAACATGACTAGGAGCATGTTGAAAGCTAAAGTTATGCCAAAGAGATTTTGGGTTGAAGCAGCTTCGACAACAATATACATCTTAAATAGATTTCCAACCAAGAAGATGGTAGAAAAGACTCCTTATGAGGCTTGGACAAGCGTGAAACCAAATGTTAGTCATCTTAGAGTGTTCGCATCAGCGCGTTTCAGGAATGTATCTGAAAAATTGAGGAAGAAACTAGATGATCAAAGTCAGACTATGGGGCTCATAAGGTATCATTTGACTAGTGCATATAAGTTGTATTCACCAAATGATGATAAAATAGTGCTCAATAGAGATTTTATAATGGACAAAAGCAAAGGGTGGGATTGGAGTCATGGTTCATTTCGACAGTAGTCAGATACAGTTACAAGTGTGTTTGAAGAAGATCACCAAACTGAAGTTCTAACCAATATAAATGAAGTATCACCTACGCAGAATGTTAAAAGATCGACTAGAGCAAGAACTGAGTCGACAAGGCTAGCTGGATATGAGATATTTCAAGATTAAGCATTCGATGCAAATGGTGACTTAATAGAAGAAGTAATGATGATGGTTGAAGAATAACCAATTAATTTGATAAAGCCATGAATGATTCGAATTGGTTAGCAGCCATGAAAGAAGAACTCTGTTAAATTGAAAAGAACAATACCTGAGAGCTTGTCGTAAATTCAATCAAGAATCCAATTGATGTGTGCCATACCCCAAATTTGTCCCACCCATTATTTACTGTGTGTTTTCATGATCTTTTTCCAAGTGATTGTTTGGGCTTCTAGCTTTGATTTTCTAAAACTTTGGCACATAAAGACTTTATGTGTACCCATCATGGTCGTGACTCTTAGTATGGTTTTTGGAATACTTGTGGAGGTTTTGCAAATATTAGGATGTGATTATCTTTAAGGCATACTTAAGGGTGGTTTTAAAGATTAAGAAATATTTTAAAGATAACAGTTGCATTTTTCTCCTATTGTTGATTCAAGAGACTTTAGGCCAGCCAGGGTGATGTTGTTGCGCCACGCTGAAAGTGTGACCAGGTCTTGGATAGGTCTCTTGAGGATTTAGTCCAGGCTCAATTGTGAATCTTTGGTGTGAAGTTATTTTATATTATGGTAAAATCCTAATACAGTAGGATTATCATTCATACGGTAAATTATTGGTTTCAATAAATATACAAATTTGAGGTTACAAAAAGGAACAGTACATTCAAACTCAACACTTGAAAGTAGTATTATAAGTTGACAAAAGACCAAGATTTTAAGCTTTGATGCCAATGCTTCTTATCATGAAGTCCTCGAATGATGAGTGATGCAGAAGGGTTGTTGTCGCTATTACCGCACCTGCATACAAAGCTCCAAGCTTAGTCCTAGACCTCGTTATCT